TCTCTCTCTCTCTCTCTGTGCACCTTTCTGGTGCGGGCAGTCCGTCGCCCCGCACCTCCAAATCATACAGAGTCGTCACCGCGCTTGGCCCAAGCATGCAAGCCAGGCTCGCCCGCGTGCCACAGTCCCTCGCGGCCCCGCGTCAACCCCACATACTCAGCACCAGCTCGTCGGATCGCCTGACTCTCTACTCACCGTTTTTTTGCTCGTTAGCTGATCCTCTCGACCGCACTAACTCCCAAGTAGATTAGAGAGCCAATTAATCGCGCTTGCAGAATTTATAGCTTGTGCATCAGCGCGCAATAATCGGGATTCCCAGAGAGGAATAGGAGAAAGGAAGGAGGAAGTGCCTACGGCTGCATGGCTGAGCCGCGGCGTGGGGGACGTAGCCTTACTCCACGTTTCGATGAAGTCATGCTCCCATCTGGCCAATGGGATAGAGAAGGGAGAGCGCACGCAGCAACCGGGGAAAGGATATCAAGAAGGGGAAGATTACAGTTACATATGTGTCGGCAAAGAAAGGGCAAGAAGAGATTACAATCGAGATTGGAATTTTGGTGCGGCGGGAACAGAGTGCAGGCCCCGGTGCAGCAAAGCCCGCGCAAGCAGGAAGCGATGTGCAGTTACAGGCAAAAATTATGAGGCACCCAATTTCCTAGTCTAATTAAGGTCTTAATTGCAAAAAGAAATTCCGAGAACCCGCGCGGGCTCATCCCCAATTCAAAAAATCCGAAGGAATTCCCAGCGCGATTGCCGCGCCAAAAAGACGGACTTTTGTCGAAAAAGAAAGAAAAAGGAAGAAAAAGGACATAGCAGACATTGTTCCCCAACGCTCACTAAGGCGCGGGTCAACTATCCCGAAGTTCATAACCACTGCCTCCCTTCTGTCGAGGGACCAAGAAGAAAACGTCGAAAAAGAAACCAAGAACGAGGGACTGCCATGCAATTTATCCTCGACCCCCTCTATGTACCCCCAATCCCGGTTGCGTAGAAGATGGCGCTTATCATAAAATAGCTCGTCACATATGTAACGCGCAGGGGGTTCCATCCTGTGCAAGCTCTCGCTTGCACCCATATCTCTCCAAAGTCAAAAAGAAAAAAGAAGGACTCGTTATTTCGCATAGATTACACGTGTCATTACCGTAGGATAAGAGTGTGGAAGTCATCCTGCCGCTGGGGCTGCTCCTATCTGTACATGCCGTTGGGGGCAGTCTCTTGCCATATGGTCGGGCTGGTGACACGAGTAACACGTGTCTGTTCTGGGTGTGATACTTACACCAGCTCCCGCCGCTGCAGCTGCAGCAGGTGCTCCGGTGGGGAAGGGGGCAGCGCGAATATTAATGGGGGGCATGGAGCGCATTAGTGATTCCATTCGGGTATTGTACTCATGCTGCTCCTTCTTGCTTTCCTGCAAGAGGCTAACTAACGTGGATGTGAGATCAAATATCGTGTTTGAATCGTCTGCCTTTCCTGTCGGGGCAGGTGTCTGAACAAGTATTCTTACTACCGAGGGTCCTGCACCTTGATCGGAAGGAAGCCGTTGGGTTGCCACCTGTTCCAGGTAGGTAACGGGGCCCGACACGAAGCCCATGTTTTCGAATTTGTGCCGGAGTGCTGCTAATTCCATTTTTGCTCTAGTTAGTTCCGAAGAATCTCCTTCCTTAGCGTGGTCTTCCCCTTCGAGGAAGCTAGCGGCGAACTTCCTTTCCATTTCCTCAACCGCGTCCATAATCTGCGTCATAGTAAAGGTGATGGGGGAAAACTGCTTTCGCAACTTGGCCCGTATCGCTCTACTTCTGAGTCTCCCCTGGCGAACAGACCAGGACGGGTAGGGACGATGGTAGAAGAAACCGACGGGACAATGTCCACAGTGGTCGCGACTGAAGAGGCCGCAGAGCTTATCCCGCTCAATCAGTTTATATCCTTGGGATACCCGGGGTTGGGTATGATTGGGGCGATCCAGCCGGCGGACGAAGAACGAGAGGTCTCGGAATGGAGACCATCCCCCAGTGAAATGGAATCCGGTGGTCCCGCGTTCATTACCGGGGAGATCGATGTGCTCAATATCATTCGAGCACTAGATCACCGCATCCCACTCCCGATCGGACACCTTCTGTCCATATCGGAACAAGCTAACCATCGCATGCTGCAGCACTGTAAAGCCAATCGAAAACGGCTCGCACTCACCAAGCTGGCAATGGTAAAAGGGAAAGCCCCTGCGAAAGAAGCGAAACCTGACGCACCGGGAACCTCAGAACCCGTGCGCCCGGGGCTCATTCAAAAAAGTGATCGCTTTTTGCGTATCAAAGCCATCCCATGGAAATCCGCGGAGTGTGACGTGGAAATCTGGGGAGTTCCCTATAATGCAATCATCGATTCTGGAGCAGCCGTGTTAGCCATATCCTTGCGAGTAGTAGAGAGGGCAGGGAGACGGAAAAATCTGATTCCACTCACTGAGGGAGACCGCTTGATCTCCGCAGACGAAGAAAAGATCCGAGCGGTCGAGAGAATGACAAATGTCGCTTTTAGACTTGGAAAAGTCCACGCCTTGGGAGACGTAGTGGTCCTCAATGTAAGCTCGTACGATGTACTCCTGGGACTACCCGCCTTAAACGCCCTTCAGGCCAACCTGGACTTCGAGCGACGGGTAGTAGTTCTCAAAAACACGGGTGGCAAGCCATACACAATCCCTATGCGTCTCACCCTCCGCACGACGGTCGGCTCGACGTGTAGAACCCATCCGGATACCGTTGGGTCGATCCGAATGATCACATGGGAAGGACTGGCTGATGATTCAAAAACATCCAGGGAGGGACAAATGTCCTCCCCTCCCGAGGACTCGGAAAGTGAAGAAGAGACAGACCCGACGATTCAAGAACTGACGAGGAAGGTAATCAGTTACCCTGTCCGACAGAAAACGACAAAGACGTTCGTGCTTACCAAAGAGAGAGCCCGACGGATCCAGGCCCTTATCATAGGGGAGCCGCTAGTACAGGTGTCGAGGATGCCCGATTCTTCGAAACCCCCTCGAACCTTGTACGAAGGAGCTACCCTGCTGCTGCCACGGTACCTGGACAAACGCTCATTCTGCGATGTTACAGACTTACCTCCCCGAGCGCTTCTCACAGTGGAAAAGGAGGTACGATTACTACGCCTAGGGGCGGAAACACAGGCTTCGGAACCCCTTGGGTACCCCGAAGCCTCGCTATTCGAAATTGGGATAAAAGTCGCCAAGAAGTCAGTAGACCCTCGGGACATTGAGGACGGGATAACCCCCGAAGAACACGTGGCCATCGGAGAAGAAGAGGCTCAGATAGTGGCCACCGTATTCTCGTGGCGGTCGGATAACTCTTTTATCTCTTCCCCAACGCCCCGAAACACGAGGGCGATACGCACTAAACACGTGTCGGTCATCATTCACGGACAACTCTACGAATTACATGTGCCGGAATGCGTGCCCGACCAAACTCACCAACTAATCACGGATATTCTCACTGAGTATCGGGACGCCATTAGCGTCAAGGATGCAGACATCGGGTTGTCTCTGGTCATACAACACGAAATTCAGACCGATAACCACCCACCGATCCACTGCAAGCCTTACCGGTACTCACTCGCGGAATGGAAGGCGACATTTGAGCGCATCCGCGAGTTCGAAGCCAACGGTTGGATCGAACCCGCCATGGGTCCTTGGTCTTTCCTGGTAGTTTTAGTTCTGAAGATGAACGGATTTATTCTTATTTGCATTGATTATCGAAAATTAAACGATATCACGATCAAAGATGTGTACCCTCTCCCCCGAATTGATGATTTGTTGGATGCGATTGGGTGTGCTAATTATTTTAGTAAATTTTATATTCGGCATGGATTCCACCATATCCTGGTAAGGGAAGAGGACCGGCCGAAGACGGCCTTTGTGTTGTTTGAAGGCACGTGGCAATGGGTTCGTTGTCCGATGGGCATATGCAATGCACCGGCGACTTTCCAGAGAGCGATGAATGTCACTTTTCATAACTTCGTTAACAAGACCAGGCTGGCTCAGGGAATGATCAATTTTTGCATTATTGTGTACATGAACGACATTTTGGTGTATTCCGAGTCGTTCCATGGACACGTGCAGCATATCGAATGGACACTTGGAGCGCTGCGGGACGCTGGCTTCAAGATCGCGTTGGAGAAAAGCGAATTTTTCCTACCCGAGATCTCGTTCCTTGGGTACGTGGTCACCCGAGGGGGCTTGAGAGCGGATTCGAGGAAAGTCGGGGCGGTTTGGGAAGCACCCACGCCTACGTCACTGACGTAGGTTTGAGCCTTTCTAGGACTGGCCTCATATTACCGACGGATCATCAAGGGATTCGCGGTAATTGCTCGACCTCTGACGAACCTCCTACGGAAGGACCAGCCGCTAAACTGGGACGCAGAGTGTGAACATGCCTTTTCCACTCTGAAAGAGGCCCTGGCCTCGGCGCCTATTTTAATTCGGCCCAATTTCGAGCGATAGTTCCTACTCATTACCGATTGGCAGCCAGAAGCAATCTCCGCTATCCTGGCTCAGAGAGGAAAGGACAGGCGGGAACACGTCGTCGAGTATGCTTCTCGGACGGTACCAGACGAGAGGAAGAATGACTTGGCGTCCCAAGGAGAGTGCTATGCTGTAGTCTGGGGAATCCAACACTTCCACCCATATCTCTATGGGCAGAAGTTCCTCCTTGTAACGGATTACGAGCCCCTGCTGGCACTTAAGAAGCTCACCAACTACACGGGTATGATTGGGCGATGGGCAGTGAGGCTGCAGGAGTACGAGTTTGACATCATCCATCGAAAAACGGAGAGGCACGTGAATGCGGGCAGGCTAACACGTCTGAGAGGCCAGGCAAGGTGTCGTGGGGCGAGGAAATCACCCCGTGGAAGGAGCCGGAGCCGCCCAAGGGGCCCGAATACGGGAATACGGCCAGGTGAAGGTACTCCCTGGACAAACGAAGAAGTGACATGTGTCCTCATGGCGGCCCAAGAAGGAAACGCTGAGGGCCCACTCTCTCCTTCCTCTTCCTCCCTGGCTTCCCTACCCGACCGTTTTTGTTTCCTCTGTGAGTCCATCTCTCGAGTCTATTCGGTGTCTATGAAGCCACAAGGCGAGGGATACGTGGAATGGGTAGATTGCGCTAAGTGTGGAGCGAGAGCCCACGAGGCATGCATCAAGCATAGGAATCCCCAGAAGTCGTGGCTCTGCCCTCTGTGTCGTACTGATAAGATCCCGACAGAGGCTCGATTCCTGGAAGCGACGTGGGAAGGTCTAGAGAAGATTCGACTGTTTAGACGAGTGGAGGTGTGGACGGATGTCGCCTTAATAGCTACAGTTGTTGGGAATTCTCTCCGAGAGTTCTCTAAGGAGGATCGGAGTCGGGTCAATGAAAGGGCACGGGATTATAGGTGGAACGGAGGACGGTTAGAAAAGCGGAGAACCGACGGGAGCGGAATCTGGATGTCGGTACCACATCCGTTCATGAGGTATGACTGGGTGAAATCCGCCCACGAGGAAACGGCAACACATTTCGCTGTCAAAATTACCGAGGCGGCCATCGACAAAAATGAGTGGTACTGGTCCAATATTAGGGATGATGTTAAATTTATTGTTAAAAATTGTCCCGTCTGTGCGGCAGACAAGGCGCCGATTCAGCCACCGAGGTCGATAGTGCCCACCGTAGTCCAATGGCCATTTCAGAGGGTTAGCATGGATACGACGAATATCGTTGTGCCCCCTAGACCGAATAGCTGTGAATATTCAATTCTCTTGGTGTTCCTCGACCACTTTTCGAAGTGGATCGAGGCCTACCCATGTCGGACAAGACAGACGACGGAAATAGCGCGGTATGTCAACCGTTTCCTTGGGATGCATCAGGATACCGAGGAGATCCTTACGAACAATGGAGCAGAGTTCCGAGGGGAGGTCATGAGGAATCTAGTCGTACATGGGGTGTCTATCCGTAATACCGCCCCCCATATGTCTCAATCGAACGGCTTCGTAGAAAACGCCAACCGAGTAATTAAAACGACACTCCGACAGAATATCGCAGCTAGGGACACGCGGCAGTCGCATGATATCATAGATCATATCCTGGGCATACACCGAGGGACCCCGCATGAATCCACGGGACTTTCGCCATTTCAACTACGAACCAACAGCCTAGCTTGTGTCTCGATACCGAACCTGAATGATGAAACGACACTCGGCCGACGTCCCATGAGAGCAACAGCCAAGGAAAAGGCTAAACGCCATTTGGAACTTATGGAACGGGCCCTTCCGAGATTGGCCCGAAAATGGCAGAGAATGACTGAATTGGCCCACGGCCGCTAGGTCCGTAGTTACGAGGCCCGAAACGGGAATGCCGGCCCCCAGCCCCAGTATAAATTTGGGGACTTCGTGCAAGTGAGGAAATGTGCTCGTCAAGGGAAATTAGTGCTACGATTCTTCGGGTGCTTTCGAGTGATCGAGCTCGGGCCCAACGGTGTGAACACGGTGCGCCTCGCTCCCGAAGTGTCAGGTAGTCGGTCCGCTAGACCCATAGTCCGCCACATGTCCTATCTTCGCCATCTCCCTACTTCCTTCCCTCCCTCTCCAACTGGTTCGCCCTCGGAATCTGAGTCCGAGTGGGGCGACGATCCACATTCTCTTAATTCTCCCCACTCATCTTCTCCTTCTTCTTCGCCATGAGTTTTTCCACGGAGCAGGTACTCAGTGAGCGGATGCTAGCGCCAGACAGGCAGATCTCGGTGATCAGGCAGGTTCATCATCCGCGTATCAGCCCGGACGTCCTCAAATTTGCTCAGTTTTCCAGCATGGCAAGCGTGCATGCGGCAGCAAAGTTCCGATTCGTGATACCCAACAGCAAAGCGCAAGTGCTGGCCGAAGCATCGGCCTATCTGCGGCTCTTGGCGCCAGGGACCAGCCACATTTCGACAATTGTCTCCTTCAGCGGAGACATCACTACGATGGATCCGAGGGCGCATCCGAGCATCCTCGTCTCGTTGTGAGATTGGGGAGAGGAGTTGGAGAAATCCTAGAGTCAGCTGCTTGCGCGGCGGGGGGAAAACGTCATCAAGACTAATAGTATTGACCTGGACGGCATCCGTGCTCTCCGACAAAATCCCGAAGTATCTCTCCCTACGCTCGTCGCTTTCTCACGTCCTCAATGAACCGTCACAGGTTCTCTACCTTCAGCCTCCCCTCTGTCTTCCCTGTCTTCTGGCAGTCGGCGCTCCATCCCCGTCTCTCTTTTTGCGTGTGGCCATTGAAAGTTCCTCTCATCAAGCCCGTACAGTGGCAGGGGTGGTGGCGAACCTATGCGACTCTTTCTCTGTGATTAGTTGAGATCGAACTGAAGTGGACCTGGGACAGCAAGCATAACGTCGTGACCGAAGACGTGGAGTTGCTCATCATTCAAGCTTGGAGGACGGAGGTAGAGGGAGATCTGTTGGGATTCGTCTTCGGATCGGTGGAGGCAGGACATCGGCAACCAATCGTAGGAGAGCTTCTAATCCTCCTGACGCAGCTGGTGGACGATCTACCGATCGACATCATCTCGCACTGCGACGAGAGCTCGGCGCCGCATATTTTGTCGCGCAGCTTGACGTCGTACCTACAGTGGTCGGCGTGCTTGGAGGCAATTGGGACAACCGTAATTACCTGTCGCATGGTAATTACCTGAACCCCGTTGAGATAATCGATATTCTTTTTGTTGAGAGGGGCGAGCCGACGTCGGAAGACGAAGAGGAAGAAGACGAGGACGGCTAAGAGGAAGATACCCTCGAGGAGGACAAATATTATAGCGAGCATAGTGAGCATGAGTTCGGGCTGATAAGCGAAGAAGAAGAAGAAGAAGAGGCGGAGGGAGCAAGTGAGGGGGAAGAGGTGGGATAGGCGGAGACGTAGAAAGAAGACCCTGCGGAAGCGGAGCGGCGGAGGGCAGAAATAGCGGAGGGAAAGCGGTCATTGGAGCAGTCGGTGGGAACCGATCTGCCAATACTGGACGAACCGACTCGAGATCCGGAGCCGCCGACGAAGGAAGACGAGCACCACGCTGCAGAGACTTCGAGCGCGTCGACGCGGAGGCAACGGAGCCGCTCCCCCTCCCCTTCCCCCGGTCCCTCAGTTCGAGCACGTGCCGATGCGGGGCGTTGGGCTACGTCCCCGGTTATTATCCCGCTGTCCCCTTGATTACCTCACACTCCGGCAGATCGACACCCCGCTCTCATTCCTCCAAAATCCCTTCCCATCTTCTCTCTTCTACCAATTCTACGCTACTCGCCTCGTCGTCGTAGTGTACCCGCATCCCACTACCCAGTGTGTCTCCCCATCTTTCTGCCTTCACGTCCTTCTTTTCAGCGCCGCGTGGCGGGGTTACAACGTGATCGAGGTCTACTGCACGATCACGGGAACTATTCCCGTGTGCGCGGATCACGAGCAATTCCACGCGGCCTTGTTTCACACCTTTTCAACTCTCTATCCCGATTACCTTGCTTCTCTCCCCCATGGCAGTCGTCGCTTCCCATGCGTACACCGCACCATCAGGTACCTTGAGCTTCTCGGGACGGTAGCGGGGATGGCGAACTTCTTGCCCGCACTCCCAAGAGAACATCCTCCACCCCCCGCCTCTGTATTCAAACTTTCTTACCCTCCTCCCTCGGGACATTAAAAGCGGGTATCCTTTCCCACTTTATCGTCCCTCTGGGATTTTACGAATAATCGGTAGAATCTGTTGCGTACTCTGCGATGGATTCGAGGGGCTTCTGCACTCGGTCCTTAATCATGAAGAACGCTTGCTCGGGGTGAATGTAGTTGAATCTGGGGAGGAAATCTCTTTCAAAGGTAGGGAGATCAACCCATACATAGGTACTAAACCAATGGTGGGCGTCGCCCCCTAACCGGGACGGAATATTGATCCTGGCTTCATCGTCGTCGTATTGTTGTGCTCGGAGCGTGGCAAGCCATGCTCCTACCAAATGATGCACAGGATCAAACAAAAATACAGATCCGACGGGGCTGCTGGTGCGCGGATACGTGCCAGTTGTTGTGGATTGAGGCCAGCAGGGTTCGCTGCCCCTTGTGCCTGATTAGCATTCATGTCGTTGGCGAATCTGCCTGCAGACCTGCTCCGTGTTACTAAGGGTTCACGTGCCGGCGCGTTTCTCGGCGCGGACCGTCCCCTTCTCGGGATCGCCAGATCGGTTGAACTAAAGAGTCGAGCCCCTTGTCAATCCCTTGTCTTGACACGTGTCGGCTTCGATACCAACCTCACGTCCAACGTGACTTCCTGTTTCGGAGTGTTAGGGGGCCTAGAAGTGCAAAGAGGGGTGTGCCAAGGATTTTAGGAAAGTGGGGGTGGAGTCCCAGGTCGGAACTGGAATCTCCGACGTCAAGTTTCAGGGGTAGGAGTGCAAGTGTCTCGTTTTAGCTCGGGATCAGGGCGATCGCTGATCTCGCGGCCTGGGCCGGCGACGTATCTGATGTACAGGCGGAATGCTATGAGTATCTCTCGGAGAGCGTATGTACCGTCGTCGGCCAATGCACGTCTCAAAGTCTGATGAGGACGGTCGTAGTCGGAGACTGTGCTCCCGAAGCTCTGGTTCGGAGCGGGTTCGTCGGACAGACCCCGCCTCGCGATACTCGTTGTATTGCTGGCACTCCAGGCACGGTGTGTGGGGCCAGTAACGAGCTATGGAGTCCCACGGAACAACCGTTAGGTGGTGATACGGGAGAAGGACGTAATAGGGAGGAAAACGGGTAGTAATAGCGACGAAGCCTGGGGTTAGACAATATTGTCTATTGCGGGGGTCGGGATAGTCGGGAATCCTAGAATCCTGGTTTATTGCCCACTGAAAATCGCCCCCGCACAGTCGAACGTTCTCTGTCTGACAGGGGTAGTTAGGATTCCGTGAGTTTCTTCGTCGCCTAAGCTTTTCCCTCTCCCAATACGTCCGATACTCTGGGTTCCTTAAGCTCTCGCGGTCGGTGACCCAGAAGGGAGTTTCCACTGCCATATCCTGCTCAATGGATTTTACATACATTTTCAGACGAAGCGAGATCACAGTTGGGCTTATGCAGGCGCACGTGTATGTTGCAGACTCTGCTGCCGGACTTGCTGTCATACACGGGCGCTTGCGCATGCCGACTGCTCAAATTCTATCTTGTCGCGCGGATAAGTTGGTGATAGGCGCTTCTGTCTGTGCGTCGGTCTGTCTCGTACGCATGCAATTATTCTCCTTATGCAAACATCATCATTTCCCGTGAGATCCAACCGTTACATGCATATCCATACCATCATGCAACAAAGAAGCGATTGCCCAACATCAAAGACCAATGCATCGGATCATTCCTGCAATCATGCATGAAATAAGAGCAAGTGGTCAGGCCAGACACGCGCGCCGAGCGTATCCAGCCAGATCCGGGAGAACCGAAAACTCGCGGATCGCGGTGCACGCAGTGCCGGTGGGTGCTAGAAAGCGATGAACTTTGAAATAAGCTAACGCTATTGAACAAAACAAAATTGGAAATAAAAAACAACTTGAGAAAAGAGGCACGAGCATGCATACATACATAAAAACCGAAAATCTGAGATGATTTATAAAGAAAACTGAAACCGCCGCAACAAAATTGGTCGCGTTGGAGTCAAAATTACACAGAAGGTGGGAAGAAAGGCATTGTTCCACCATATCCCCGTTCCTCTCTCTCTCTCTCTCTCTCTCTCTCTCTCNCTGATAGACCCCCCCAGCCCAGTATCGTAATTTGTGTGTATGTGTGTATGCCCAGAGGCTATGTATGTTTGTATGAGCCCATAGGGCCATGTGTTCGAAGGCTATGTGTGCTCTGTGTACCTGTATAGCGAGATGTATGTGCCCGAAGGCCAGATATGTGCAGTACTATGTAGAGGCTGTCTCTTATACACATCTAGATGTGTATAAGAGACAGCTCTCTCTCTCTCTCTCTCTCTCTCTCTCTCTCCTCTCTCTCTCTCTCTCTCTCTGTCTCTCTGTGCACCTTTTTGGTGCGGGCAGTCCGTCGCCCCGCACCTCCAAATCATACAGAGTCGTCACCGCGCTTGGCCCAAGCATGCAAGCCAGGCTCGCCCGCATGCCACAGTCCCTCCCGGCCCCGCGTCAACCCCGCATACTCAGCGCAAGCTCGTTGGGTCGCCTGACTCTACTCACCGTTTTTTTGCTCGTTAGCCGATCCTCTCGACCACGCTTACTCCCAAGTAGATTAGAGCCAATTAATAGCCCTTGAGGAATTTATAGCTTGTGCATCAGCGCACAATAATTGGGATTGCCAGAGAGGAATAGGAGAAAGGAAGGAGAAGTGCCTACAGCTGCATGGCTGAGCCGCGCCGTGGGGGACGTAGCCTCACTCCACGCTTAGATCCAGTCATGTACCGATCTGGCCAATGAGATAGAGAAGGGAGAGCGCACGCAGCGACCAGGGAACGGATATCAAGAAGGGGAAGATTACAATTACATCTGCGTCGGCAAAGAAAGAGCAAGAAGAGATTACAGTTGAGATTGGAATTTAGGCGCGGCGGGAACGGAGTGCAGGCTTAGGTGCAGCAAAGCGCGCTCAAGCAGAAAGCGATGTGCAGTTACAGACACAAATTACGAGACACCCAATTTCCTAGTCTAATTAAGGTCCTAATTGCAAAAAGAAATTCCGAGAACCCGCGCGGGCTCATCCCCAATTCAAAAAATCCGAAGGAATTCCGCTCGTGATTGTCGCGCCAAAAAAACGGACTTATGTCGAAAAAGAAAGAAAAAGGAAGAACAAGGACATAGCAGACATTGTTCCCCTGCGCTCACTAAGGCGCGGGCCAACTCTCCCGAAGTTCATAGCCACCGCCTCCCTTCTGTCGAGGGACCAAGAAGAAAACGTCGAAAAAGAAACCAAGAACGAGGGACTGCCATGCAATTTATCCCCCACCCCGTCTATGTACCCCCAATCCCGGTTGCGTAGAAGATGGCGCCTATCAGAAAAGAGCTCGTCACAACCGACCGAGCCACTCCAAGCATCTA